CCTGGCATCGGCGCTGCCGGATCCCCCTGCACCTGCTCCCCCAGGCCGGCTCCGTGTGCTCCCCGCGGCCCCCCCGGCATCGTCCGCAGGTTCATTACCGCCGTGACCCCCGTGACCCCTCCATGTCCCCGATCCCGGCGACAGATCCACCGGGACACCCGACGGGATTGAGGCTGGGGGGTACCGAATCACCTCTCCGGAGGGGCGAGCCGGCATCCCCCAGCCCCAAACCCGCCCGATAATCCGGACGCGGCGTCGCCAGCCGGGCCTCACCTGCGTGTGCGGCATCCCGGGATTTTTACGAGCGGCCGAAATCCCGGAGCTATTTGTACCGGGAAAGGGCAGCGGTGGCTCTGAAACCCAAAACCCACCCAAAAGGGCTTAATCACTCCCAGCCGCGGCCCCGATGCTTTTATGGGGCATTTTAGAGCAAAAGAGCCAATAAATTTTTGGGTGAGGGTAAGAGCCGCGGTGAGGATGAGGAGGGAGCAGAGGAGGAGGGGGAACCCACTGGGGTGGGTTAAAATGGGGGAGACAACCGGGGGGAGGCGCGGGGCTGCGCCCCGGTAGTGGCGGAGAGGGGTCGGTCCCCCCCCCTCGACAGGGGGGGCGTCGGTGGCTCCTCCTCCTCCTCCTCCCGGTATCCCGGGGCTTTAAGGCGGTGGAACGGGAATCGCGGGGCTGGGGGGGGGGGGGGGGGGTGGGGGGCCCCAGGNNNGGGGAGGGGGGCCGGGGGGGGGGGGCGGGGGCGGCGGGCCCCGGTCCCGGCGCGGGTCCCGGTCCCGGCATGACCTCGGCGGGGGAGGCGGCCGGTTCCCCCCCGCTGCCCGCCGCGGTCGGCGGCCACCGGCGGAGCCCCCTGGACCGGCTCCCGCCCCCCGCCAACACCACAAAACCGCTGACCCCCTTCGGCATCGAGGACATCCTTGGACGTCCCCGCGGCGGGAGCCCCCCCGGGACCGGGACCGGTCTCGCCGCCCCCCCCGCCCCGACAGGGCCCCGCGGCGGCGGCGGCGGCTGCGCCCCGGCCTCGCCGCTCTGGGCGCTGGAGGAACTCGCCAGTAAAACCTTCCAGGGGCTGGAGCTGGGAATGCTGCAGGCGGCCGGAGGTACCGGGGCCGGGGGGCTGCCGGGGTGGGGGGGCTCCGCCGGGAGCGCGGCGGACACCGGGCACCAGGCACCGGGCAGGTGGCGGGGCTGGAGGGCGGCGGGGAGGCCAGGGACGCCCCTCGTCCCCCGTCCCGGGAAGTTTCCTCCTCGTCCCAGAGGGGCGAGCGCGGCTGGGAGGCCCGAGAAGCCGCCGGTGCTCGGCCGGGACACCGGGGACAAGCGGCAGCCTCAGTCCGAAGGGACGGAGAAGTCCCGGGGTCGGACACCGGGAAACGGAGAGAGCCCCGGCCCCGGTGAGCCGCCACAGGCACCGAAGCTCCGGGAGAACCGGCAGCGCCGGGGCCGGCAGCTTTACCGGGAGCCACGGGACCGGGCGGTGGATCGGCGCCGCCGAGTCGTGACCGTGACCGTGACCGAGCGCGGCGGCCGAACGGCGGATCGGGCCCGCCGGCAACGGAAACCCGGTACCGGCCCCGAGCCTCAGCGGGGACGGCGGCTCCGTCCGGGGCTTGGCCTGCCGGAGCAGCCCGGTACCGGCGGGGTCCGGGGGCCGCTCACGGACGGGCACGAACCCGCCTCACATCCCACTGGTTCGGCCGAACCGGGAGGACGACCAGACAGCACGGACACCGACAGACAGCACGGCGCCTCCGGGAACGAAAAAATCCGTTCCTGGCTTGGAGAGACAGACACGGACGGACTGATCGCGTCTCCGGGATTAACGGAAAATCCCTCACACGGAGGGACACACGGACAGGCAAAGCACGGCGTCGCCGGGAATGAATAAAACCGTTACCGGGTCGGACAGACCGAAAAAGGCTCCGGTGATTAACGCAGAAAAATAATTACCGTCCCTTACTGAGACGGACAGCGAGTCTCCGTGATTAACAGTGGAAAAAAAAATATTACCGGGACGGACAGACCGACAGTCACGGCAGAGCAGCGTGCCGGTAATTAACGGATTCGGTTGGGCACAACGCGACTCACGCCGGTAACGAAAAACCCTTCGGACAGACGGACACGGAGCGCTGGATCAGCCCTCCCGTGAGTAACCGAGCCTTCGTTACCGGCCGGACGGATGGACGAGGATGGAGCCACACTCCGGTAATTAACGGGGGAAAAAAAAAAAATCCCGAATTGCGGAGAGGTGCTCCGGTAATTAAGGAACCCGCCACAGCGGGCAGACAGACGGACAGACAGAGCAGCGATCCTGTGATTAACGAATAAAGCCACCCGTTAACGGGCGGGCAGACGAACAGAACGGGCACGCCTCGGGCGCCCGGTTTTAAGGTAAAAACCCTCGTTATCTGACGGATGGACACGGCAAGGAACGAAATAAGTGAGCGAAAATATCCCATTACCGGGTGGACAGACGGACAGGAACGGGGGAGAAAAAATCATTTTTCCGGGACGGACAGACGGGCAAAAACGGGGCCGATCGGGGCTCCGGGAATTAACGTAAAAAGGCCCGTTATCGGACGGACAGATCGACAGAAAAAGAATCGGAAAAAAATATAACGAAATAAATCGTTACCGGGTGAACAGACGGACAAAAATCGGAAAGACAGCGGCTCCCGGGGCGGAGGTAAATTCCCGTTACCGGCCAGACGGAAGGACAGACACGGGACTAATAAAAATGAACGAAAAAAATCTCGCTGCCGGCCGGACAAGCACGGGAGCGATCGGGGCTCCCGGAGCGGGGGTGAAGCTCCGGTACCGGCAGGACAGAGGGACACGGCCGAGCGGGGATCTCGGAATTAACAGAACCCGGTGGCGAAGCCGCCGCGGGTAACGGCGGAACGAGGCGGGACTGGCGGACAGACGGAGGTGCCGGTAACTCAGGTAAAACCTCGTTACCGGGACGGACCCACCGACACGGCCGGGACAGCCCCGGGCTTCCGTGATGAACGAAAACGCCTCTTCGCCGCGGCGGAAGGACAGACTGACAACGGAGCGATCGGGGCTCCGAGAGCGGCGGTAAATCCCCGTTACCGGCATGGACGGACGGACAGAAACGAGGCCGATCGGGGCTCCCTGAGCCGCGGTAAATCCCCTTTACCGGCATGGACGGACGGACAGAAACGAGGCCGATCGGGGCTCCGAGAGCGGCGGTAAATCCCCGTTACCGGCATGGACGGACGGACAGAAACGAGGCCGATCGGGGCTCCGAGAGCGGCGGTAAATCCCCGTTACCGGACTGGCGGACGAACACGGCACGGATCGGGTTTTCGTGACCGCGGTAAAGCCGTGCTACCGGGACGGACCCACGGACTCTGCCGGGATCGCCCGGGGCTCCTCTACCGAGCGAGGAGCGGAGTCCGCGCTGCGAGAGACCCTGGGAACCCCCGGTGTTACGGGGAAGCCGCGCTATCGAGAGGCGGCTCGGTGACACCGGCAGCGGCGGGGCTGGAACGGACCGGGGGCCAGACCGGGACAGCGATGGGGATCCCGCCGGCGGCGTGCAGCCGTGCCCGGGATGGCGATCCCCGTCTCGCCGGGGGTTCCCGGGGTCCCTAGGGGCAGCAGCGGCCGCACCGGAGCCGGGAGAGGCGACGGGACCGAATCTGGGGACCAGCACGGCCGCGGGTCTCGTGGAATCGCAGAGGAGGATCCCGGTTCTCTGCCGAGGCTCCCGGCTTCGTTCCGGGCTCCCGGAGCAGCTGCCGGGGGCACACGGGTGTCTCAGCCCCGGTCGCAACGGGGTCCCATCGACACGAGCGCGGCCGCTGTAGGACGATGAGTCCCGGCCTCCGGCGCCGGCCGCGGTTCGGTTTGCTCGGCTCGGTACGGCTCGACTGCGTTCGGTTCGATGTGGGCCGGTTCGTCTCCGTTCGACCGGGAGACGGCGGGGCCGGTGCTGTTGCAGCTACCGGTGCCCTCAGGTCGTGCCCGGGCTGGGTCCCGGTACGTGTACCGGTGCCTTTCTTTGACCTGACGCCGCTGTCCCCGCAGGTCGAGGCCCGCGGTGCTCGGCGGTGCCGGTGCCGGGTCCCCGTGCCGGTACCCTGCCCCACAAACCCTTCCCCGCCGGCATCCCGGTGCCGCTGCCCTTCCCGGGGCCGTTCCCGGTGCGATGCCCTGCCGGGCTGCCGGGGGCCGTTCCCGGGTGCGGGTCCCGGTGCTGCTCCCGGTTCTCCGTGCCCTAACCCCGCTGTCTCCGCAGGTCCGTCCCCGCCGGGAGCCCCGGGCCCGCGCCCTCCGTGCAGGAAGCGTCGCAAGTCCCGGACCGCGTTCACGGCGCAGCAGCTGCGGGAGCTGGAGCAGCGATTCCGGCGGCAGCGCTACCTCTCCCCGGTGGACCGGGACGCGCTGGCGGCGCGGCTGGCGCTCTCCGCCGCCCAGGTCATCACCTGGTTCCAGAACCGCCGCGCCAAGCTCAAGCGGGACCTGGAGGAGCTGCGGGCGGACGTGGCCTCGCTGCAAGCGCTGCCCCCCGCCGCCCTGCAGCAGCTGGCGGGGCTGCCCGAGCCCCCGGGGGCTCCCGGTACCGGCACCGGGACAGCAGAGCCCGCCGAGCTCTCGGAGGAGGAGATCGACGTGGCGGACTGAGCCGAGCACGCTCGGCTCCGTTCGGAGCCGCCGGGACCGAGACTGCTCCGTTCGGATCCGCGCGGCGCCACTCGGCCCGGCTCGGCTGAGCTCGGATTCACTCGGCTCGGTTCGGGCCGGCTCCGTTCGGATTCACTCGGCTCCGTTCGGGTACGCTCGGCTCCGTTCGGGTACACTCGGCTCCGTTCGGGTGCGCTCGGCCCGGCGGCTCGGTTCCGAAAGGAGCCGAGCCCAGCCCCGCCCCCTCCCTGCACCCTTTTGAGGCTTTTTCTTTTTTTTTTTAATTTTTTTTTTTTTTTTTTGTTCGTCTTTCCATTGTTTGGTTGTTTATTCTTTTTTTTTTTAATTTTATTTTCTATCGGCCCCGGTGTAAATATTTGCAATAAAGGCAACACCTTAATATGGACCCCAGAGCTCTCCACACCCCCGTTTTTCCGGGCGAGCACCTCCCACCGCGGGCATTAATTTGTTTTAACCGGTGATTAATTACCGGCTGCGGCCGCCCCTGCCCCCCTCAATTTGCATATTAATCAAATTGTATTTGATCTCACGCCTGTCACACCCCCTCCCCCGAAGCTCCTGTCACCAACCAGTGACATTAAGGGGGGGTGGAGACCCCTCCTCGCTGTCCCCCGGGGCTGGAGTGACACAGAGGGGGACAGAGGGGGACACGGGGTGGACAGGGACAAGGGGGAGTGGAGCAGCGAGGCTCCAAAACTGTGAGGGAGAGAGATGGCGGAGAGGCTGAAGGACACCAGCCCAAAGGAAGGCCAGAGAGAAAAACAAATCTCAGCTTTATTAAAAATCCAAATTGCTACAAATCCCTGAGGGGCCACGGGAACAGCCCAGGCCCACCCCCTCAGCACTTGGGCACCCCCAAGGCAGGACGGGGAGACACTCCCACCCCTGGCAGTGGGGGACAAGGCACAGGCAGGTACAGGCAGGTTGAGGGGGGGCTGCCAGGGGCCCCCCACCGGGGCAGGGTCAGCTGAGCAGCCCCCCGGGGGTGGCCTTGCCCTTGGCACGGGGCGCGGGGCATGGCGTGGCGTGGGCCGGGTGCTTGAGCTGCAGCAACAGCTTGCTGCCCTCCACGGTGGCACCCTGGGGACAGCAGGAGCTGGCACCAGGACAGGTCCCCTGTGGGGACAGGGCGTCCCAGGGTTATCTGAGGGGAGGAGGGGGGTCCCACAAGTCCCCCCCAGCTGACCTGCATGGCCCTGAAGGCCTCCTCGGCCTCAGCTTTCCCGCGGAAGTTGATGAAGGCACAGCGGCGCCCCGGGAGCAGCCGCACGGAGCGGATCTCCCCAAACCTGGGGGGCACAGACCCCCCCAAATGAGGGGGCAACAGTTAGAGACTCCTAAATGGGGAGGCGGAGGGTTAGAGACCCCCAAATATAGGGGGCACAGACCCCCAAAGTGGGGGGCAACAGAGGGGCACAGACCCCCCCAAATGAGAGGGCAACTGTTAGAGACTCCTAAATGGGGAGGTGGAGGGTTGGAGACCCCCAAACCTGGGGGTGCTGTGAGTTGGACACCACACCCCATGCATCCCCTGCAGGTCAAAAGCACCAGAGAACCAGGACAGGGACAGAGCTGGGCAGCCTGGGGGTCACCAGGGGGTGGCAGGGGCTCGGGGGTCACCAGGGGGTGGCAGGGGCTCGGGGTCCTGGAGCAGGAGCAGCCCTGGGGGTCACTCACCGGCCAAAGGCACGACGCAGCACCTTCTCAGTGATGTGGGAGGTGACGTTGCCCACCCAGAGCGGGAAGCAGTCCCTGCCAAGAGCCATCCTGGTGTCATCAGAGGCAGCACTGCCCCTCTCTGAGCCCCCTCCCCGATCAGCAGACCCCCGTACCTGGCGGGGTGGCTCGGTGGCAGTGTTGGGCAGCCACTGGCCACAGCAGGTGCCCGTTCTGGGTCTTTTGTGGGGGTCCTGGCACTGCCTCCCGTCACGCTTTTGTCACCTGTGTCCTGGCAGCTCCTGGTCGTCCATCCTGCTGCCGAGGGGCCACAGGGGTTCAGCACCCACCGGGGACACGGGGACAGCCCCGGGGTCCCCCCAGCCCACCCACCCCTGTCCCTTACCAGGGAGAAACAGCGGCTCCTTAGCCTTGAGCAGGAAGGGGGACGCGGGGACACCCCCGGGGCGGCTGCACTGCTGTGAGGGGACAGGGGTGAGGCGTGGGGGGCACGGCAGGACATGGGGCAGGGGCTAGGGGGTTGGGAAAGGGGGGAGTCTCACCTGCAGCAGGGCCCGGCAGGCCTCCAGCTGCGTGGCTGCCTCAGCGTAGGCCGCATCCTGCAGCAGCAGCTCCTCGAAGGTGCGTGCGGCCTCGGCGTAGCGCTGGGGGCCAGAGGGCACCTGCAACCCCCTGCCTGGCCCCACAGGACCCCCAGAGCCCCCAGCCAGCCCGAATGGCACCTCAAAGCCTCCCTGACACCCCCCAGCGCAGCCCTACCCCACCAATACCCTGTGCCCTGCCCAGCTCTCCCAGCCCCAACCAACCAGCCCCACCCCTCATCCACAGCACCCCACAGCCCCCAGCCAGACCCACGGGCACCCCTCAGCCCCCTGCCCACCCCACCAGCTCCCCAAAACCCCCAGTTTGTCTCCAACAACACTGAAACCCCCATACTCACTATAACCCAGCACCCCTCACCCAGCCACGCCACCCACCCTCCTGCAGTCCCCCCCCCAGACTCCAGCCCCCTGCACAGTCCCTGGAGCCCCCCCCCAGGTACCTGAAGCCCCCTGAGGGCCTTGCCCTTGCGGAAGGAGCCCTTGGGCCAGCCCGGCTGCAGCGCCAGCGCCGCCTCCGCGTCCGCCAGCGCCTCCTCGTAGCGGCCCAGCTTCTCCAGGCAGTAGGAGCGGTTCCCCAGGAGCCTGAGGGCATGGGGTGTCACTGAGGGCTGGCTCTCCCACCCCAGGACCCCTCAGCTCACCCCCAAGCCCCTGTGCTCACCGGTGCTCCCGGGGGTTCAGCTCCAGGGCGACGGTGAACGCCCAAACGGCCTCGGTGTGCTGGCCCATCTGGGCCGCCTCGATGCCATGGCCTGGGCAGTGACACGGGGTGGGGAGTGAGGACACAGGGAGGGACAGTCCCCCCAGCACAGCCCCTCTGAGCTGGGGAGAAGCTCCCCAAAGCCCTTCCCTCGCCCCTCTGGGGGTGCCTGCACCGACCTGCAAGCGCCAGGCTCTGCTCTATGGTGCTGGGGCTGGGGGGCCTGGCCTGGGGGGGCCGGGGGGACACAGGTCTCTCCACAGGGTCCCCATTTCCCTTCTCGGGCACTTTCCTGCTTGGCTCCACTTTCTGTGTCCCGGGGGACGGCTCACTGCCCGGGGGGGGCAGCCTGACCCCCGCCTTCTCCCGTGCTTTGCAGACAAAAGTGCAGCTCAGGTCCAGCTCCTCCTGGGGAAGCAGGCAGGGATGGGATGGGCAGGCAGAGCCCTGGGACCCCCCACACCCATGGGGAGACCACCCCTCACCTCTGCCACCGCTGTGTCCTCCGGGCCAGGCTCCCCCGAGGGGAGTGTGGAGTCCCCAGGGCACGGGGAGGGCTCTGGGCAGCATTCCTCATCCTCAGCACCATCTGAGGGGGGCCCAGTGCCTGCAGGGCCACTTGGGGGGCTCTGCAAGGAGGAGGAGGGGGTCAGGTGATGGCTAGGGGGTGCTGGCTGGGCCCCACCTCTGGGCACCCCTAGAACAGCACGAGCAGGCCGGACTGGTCACTCACTGGGTCAGTGTTCTCTTTGTTCTTCTGCTCTTGAACCAGTTTCTCCCGTTTCTTTCGGTCTTTTTGTTTCTGAGAAGGAAGAACATGAACCCACGAGCAAGTGTGAGGCAGAGAAATGCAGTCCCCCCAACCCCACCACCCCCAGCCCCCAGCTCAGGGACCTGCTGGCAGCACCCCAAGAACAGGCAGTGACCCCAATCCCCAGGAGCTGGCAGTGACCCCTCCCAAAGCTCACCCACCTTCTTCTTCATCTTCTTCTTCTCTGCCTTCCTCTTGGCCCGCTCCTCCTCTGCCACCAGCTCCTGTGCATTCCTCTCGGCTTCCTACAGGAGGGATGCCCGGAGTCAGGACAGCCCCGGGGCCACGAGGTGGGACCCTCCGGTGATGTCAGCCCGGACCCCCAGCCCCCGGGGGGTCACCGGGGGCACTGCCCACCTCTGCCGTGAGCCAGGGCCGGCGGGGCGTGGGCAGCCGGTCCAGCCGCGCGTCCAGGGCGGTGGGAGGGGTCCGGGGCAGCCGCGGGGGCGGCTCCGAGCACAGGAAGGACTTGCGGAATCCGCAGTAGCTGTAGGGAACGGCCCCCTCCGCCACGGGAACGTCCAAGAACGGCAAACCTTCCTCGAACTCGTCCTCGTCGTAATCGTAATCATCGTTGCCATCGTCATCGTCGTCCCCCAGCGGGTAGTAATCCACCCTGGGGCCTGCCAGGAGAACGGCGTGTGTGAGGAGCAGTCCCAGGCTCCGGATCCCGGCAGCCCCCACCCCGTTCCCCGTCTCCTGGCAATTCCCGGTAGCCCCCGCCTCACTCACCGTCGTCCCAGAGCAGACACACCTCCTCCCCCTTACACTTAACCACTGTCTGCGAGGGACCTTGCGACGGCAGCTCGGCGAAGCTGGACATGCGGTGCCGGGGGCAGAAGGGCGCTGTGGGAAGAGAAAACAGCCGTGAGCCGGCGGAGGCGGAACCGACAGCGGGCCCCGCTCTGGGCTGGCCGCCCGGCCCCGCCACGGCCCGTACCGCCGCTCCAGCCGGCGGGGCCGAGCGTGCAGCCCCAGGGGCAGGCAGCGGCGGCAGGCCCGAAGCCACCCAGCCCGGGCCCGTCCCGCTCCCGCGTCCCGCCCGAGCCCCGCATCGCCGCCGCCGCGCCTGAGGATTGCATCACCGGCCTACCGGAACAGCGTCACGGCGCCGGTTGAGGCCGCCCGGCCGCCATGCTGGGTGCGGGCAGGACGGCGGCCCGCAGGGCCCTGACGGAGCGGCACCGGCGCTCCACATCCTCTCCCGCCGTCCCCGCCTGCCCCAAGGCCGTGGGCTCGGTCGCCCCCCGCCGCTCGTCCCGCCCCGCACGCCGGGCCCCTCCTGGCGGCCAGCTTGGCCCAGCCCCCCGGATTAGCGAGGGCCTAAGCCTCTTTGCTGCCGCCGCCCCCGGCATGGCCCGGCATGGACACCGGCGGCGCTGAGCGGCGCGGCGGAGAGCTGTGCCTGCAGGTGAGGCCGCTCGGGGCGGGGGGGGGGGTCGGACACACCTCAGTCTCCATGGCAACGGGGCAGGGGGCGGGGCGGGGGCGTGGCCAAACGTGGAGGGCTCAGGCCGGGGCGTGGTCACAGCGGGAGGCAGCTGGGGGCGTGGCGTGGGCGTGGTCAGTGCGGCGATGGGCGGGGTCACGCGTGGCCCCGCCCTCCGCCCCGGCCCGGGGGTCCTGAGCCCCCTGCACCCCTCCAGGTGGGCGACGCGGGCCTGGGCGGCCTCATCCTGCTGCTGCTGACGGCCCGGCCGGGACCGGGCGATGGGGCTGCCCGCGGAGACCCCCCCGAGCCCGGTGAGACCCCCCGGGAGCTGCGGGGACCACGAGGGGGTGTGGTGTTCTGGGGGGCTGCGGGGATCCTGCTGGGCGGCGTGGTTCTGGGGGGAGTGTGGAGGACCCTAATGGGGTCCAGGATCTTTGGGGGGGGCATTGATGGCATGTGGAAGGCTATGGGGACCCCAATGTGCTGTGGGGCCCTGGGGGACACGTGGGGAGCGTAACAGGGTGCCGGGGGTCTCCGGGTTAGGGTGGCAGTGGGACAGCGACGGGGCGATGTGGGCGGGTGCTGCCCCACAGCAAGGTTCTTCAAACTGGGGTTCCCCACCCTCCACCACGCTCCGTGCCCCATCCTGAGGGTCCCATGCCCCCAGGCGGGTCGCGGGGGCCCCTGGCACGCTCCTTGCAGCGGGCAGAGGCCATGCTGCGCAGCGTCACGCCGGGGCTGCGCCGCCTGCTGTCCCCGCGGTCGAGCCGGCGCGGCGACACCGACGAGGAGGACGACGAGGAGGAAGATGAGGACGAAGCGGCGTCCATCGTGGTCCCGCTGGAGCAAACCTTCCCGGGGCTGCGCCGCTGCCTCTGCGTCTGGGAGGACCCTCGCACCGAGACCTTCCTGGGCTACGTGCGGCCCCATCCCAGCGGCGCCGGCGACTTTTCCGAGGACGCCGTGCGGCGGCGCGTGGCGGAGCGCGGGGCCACCCTGCACGCGCTGCTGCAGCACCGCCACCAGCTCCGCCTGGCCCGCGACTTCACCCGACGCCTCAAGGCCTCCTCCGACTTCCTGCGGCGGCTGCAGGAGCCGCCGGGGCCCGGAGAGCTGCGGGAGCTGTGCCTGGAGCTGCGGGCGCACGCGGGGCACTGGGCCGCGCTGCTGCGGCGCCTGCGGACGGACGCGTGGCTGCGGGCGCTGCCGCGGCGCCGGGGCCAGCTGCCCGCGCTGATGGCCGCGCGCCTGGCCGGGCGGCACGTCGAGGGACGGCTGCGGGAGCTCGGCCGCCGCGGTAGCCCTGCCCCGGCCTCTGAGTGCCTGGCTGACCTCTTCCAGGGGCTGGAGATCTACAACCGAGTGGTGCGGGGGCTGGCGGAGGAGCTGGGCCCCGAGGTGAAGGCTCCCGGTGCCTTCACGGTGGGCGGGGTGCTGCGGCTGCTGGCGGCCGAGCGGGGCCGGGCCGTGGCCCGGAGGCTCCGGCCGCTCCTGTGGCCCCAGAGTGGGGACATCAGGGATGGACGCGTCTGCTGGGAGGACGTGGTGCTGCCGTGGCCACCGGGGCACGGCACGGCTGCGACGGGCACGGGTGTGGACGCGGAACCTTCCGGAACGGAGGCGCCGCCGGCGCTGGCGGCTGAGCTGCAGGCGCTGTGCCAGGAGGACGAGGAGCTGATGGGACACGTTTTTGGGGCGCTGGTGGCCTCAGCCGACAGCCTGTGGCAGCCAGTGCTGTCAGAGAGCCCCGAGCCGCCGGGGCTGCGGCCGGGCAGCGCGGGCGGCTGGAAGGCCGTGCGGTGGCTGGACGCCGCCCGCGGCCCCGCGGCTGCCACCCTGAGCGCCCGCTACCGCCTGCTGCTCTGGGAGGCTGCGGGCGCCGTGCTGGGGGACACCCCGGGCACCCCCCCTGCCACCCCCAGCGCCACCGTCAGCGCGGCGTGGGAGCTGAGCCGCGCGCTCGCCGTGGGTACGTGGGGGTGCAGGGGGTGCGGGGCTCCCTCGGGGTGTCCCTGTCCCATCTGAGCCCCGCTGTGTCCCCACAGCCCGTGTGCCCGCTGAGTGCCGGGAGGAGCTGGGGCGGCTCTGCCTGCAGCTGCTGTGCAGGAGCATCCTCTGCAGCTGGGACACGGGTATGGGGGGCTGCGGGGGCACGGGGGGGGTACAGGGTGTGCTGCGGGGTGTGGGCTCTGGGGTACGAGGTGGATATGGGGTGAGGGAGTGGGGTATGCTATGAAGGGTTGGGAATGGGATGGGGTGTGGGGTGCGAGTGGGGGGATGTTGGGGCCTTCTGACTGTTTCTCCTCCAGATTTCACCCGTGCTCTGGGCTCAGGGCTGTCAGACAAGTGCTTGGAGGCCCCGGGGGGGTCCCCAGGGCCGGGGTGCAGCCGTACAGCCCAGCAGCTCCGGTGCCTCTTCCCAGCCCTGGCGCTGGCCCTGCGCTGCCTGCGCCTGCTGCCCGCCCGCCCGCACGGTGAGAGGGGTCTGGGCTGGGGGGCAGGCTGCTCTGGGGATCCTCTCTGTGCTGACCCCCACCCGCAGCCCCCCCCGGGGGTCTCTGCCTGCGGCTGCAGGTGCTGGGCCGCTGCCTGGCGGCGGTGGCGGCCGCCCACGCGTGGCTGACGGGCCGGGCCGGGCGGTACCTGGCGGCCTGGGCGCTGCCTCAGTTCCTGCTGCTCACCCAGGGAGACCTGCAGGTACGGGGAGCACGGCGGGCACGGGGGGCTGGGGGGACACAGCAGGGCTGGGCTCACTCCACCTGCTCCCCTGCAGGTGCTGAAGGCAGAGGCAGAGCAGCTGATGCTGCAGGCGAGCAGGACCTTCCCGGAGCCAGGGGACATTCCTGGGGACAGCCCCCCTGAGCCGCCCCCCAGCCCGGGATCCCCGTGGGAGCTCCAGCTGTGCCGGCAGATCCGCGACGTGGCCAACAGCATCCAGGTGTGGTGGCACTGCGGGAGGGTGGGCTGAGCACGAGGATGCCTGTGTCACCCCGTGTCACCCCGTGTCATCCCGTGTCCCCTGTGTCCCAGCTCTTCTCCGGGGATGTGCTCTGGATGTTCTCCACCAGCTGCAAGCGGCTCTCGGCCGAGATCTTCGACCAGACGATGCCGCTGGGCCGGCACTGGCGGCTCGGGCCCCGCGCTGGTGGGTGTTGGGGCTGGGGGGCCGGGGGGGTGGATTTAGGGGCTCACTGAACCGGGTCCCTGTGTCCCCCAGAGCTGCCCAGCTCCCCCAGCGCCTACGCGGCGGCCGCGGTGCAGGCGGTGCTGGGGCAGGTGCTGCAGGGGGCCCAGGCCCTGCCCCACGATGCCCAGGTGCCCACCCTGGCACGGGTCACCACGGCCTTCCTGGAGGCCTGGATGGATCACATCCTGACCCGCCGGATCAAGTTCAGGTACTGGGGACGGGGGGGCCACAGCCTGTGGGCAGTGCCACGGGTCGCAGTGGCAGTTCTGGGGGTCCCAGTAGCAGTTCCAGGGGTCCCAGCAGTGTCCTGGGGGTCCCAGTGGCATCCTGGGGGTCCTAGTGGCAGTGCCAGGGGTCCTGAGGGTCCCAGTGGCATCCTGGGGGTCCCAGTGGCGTCCTGCAGGGTCCCAGTGGCAGCTTCAGAGGTCCCAGTGGTGTCCTGGAGGTCCCAGTGGCAGTTCCAGGGGTCCCTGTGGTGTCCTGAAGGTCCCAGTGGTCTCCTGAGGGTCCCAGTGTCATCCTGGGGGTCCAGTGACAGGCCAGGGGTTCAGTGGCAGCTTGGGCTCGCACTGACGGTGTCCCAGTGGGGGTCCGAGGGGCTCTGGTGACAGTGCCAGACGTTCTGTGGGGGTCCCGCTGGTGGTGGGGGCCCGATGGCAGCGCCGGGATCTCGGCGGCGGTCACGGCGCGCGGTGGCAGTGCCGGGGGGTCCTGCTGGGGACCCCGGGGGTCCCGTGCCCACGCTGACCCCCGTGCCAGCCTGCAGGGCGCCCTGCAGCTGCGGCGGGACTTCGAGGCCGCGCGGGAGCTGGTGTGCTCGGAGAGCTCCGGGCTGGCCCCCGAGGCGCGGCAGGCGCTGCGGGCCCTCTGCGTCTTCCGGCACACGGACACGGCCGTGCGCTGCCTGCTGCAGCAGCCGGGGGGGCTGGGGGGAGCCCCCCGCCGCTGGGGCAGCCTCCGGCGCTGCTGTGAGAGAGGGGAGGGCTGGGAGGGGAACGGGGTGGGTGGATGGGATGGGAAGGGATGGGATTGGGATGGGGTTGGAGATGGGATGGAGTGGGATGGGATGAGGTGGAGTGGAATTGGGATGGGGTGGGATGGGATTGGGATGGAGGTGACACTGGGATGGGATGGGATGGGATGGATGGATGGATGAGTGGGATTGGGATGAAAGAGGGTGGAGATGGGATGAGACAGGGTGGGGCAGGGAGAATGGGACAAGGACCGATGGGGACAGGGAGAGGACGAGGATGCGGATGGGATTGGAATGGGGACAGGAACCCGCATCGGAAGCAGGATCTGATGTACCAGCCAACCTATCCCAAACCTATCCGTCCCTTCCCAGGCTCAGACGAAGGCGCCCACCCCCTGGAACCATCCATGGACCCTGTCCCTGGCCTGGACCCTCTGGAGGGGCTGGCCCCACTCCCGGGGACGCCCCCGCTGGCTCCCGAGGCCGATCTCCCGGCCCGGCCCGAGTCCCCGTTCCCGGGCAGCCAGCAGCAGTGGCTGTCCCTGCGGCTGCACCGAGCTCGCCGCTGGCGTGTGCCAGGGCTGCCGTGCGTCGGGAACAGCCCCGAGGGCTGAGCTGGAATAAACCTGGAAACGCCATGGCCGTGGCTGCGTCTGTGAGGGGGGTATTGGGGTATGGGGGTCTGGCAGCCCTGGGGTGTGATCCTGGTATTCCAACTGCTGGTGGGCAGGATCTAACTGGAGTTTTTGTGGGGAGACCGGTGGGGCTTGGGTGTCCTGGGGGTGCAGCGTGGGATTCCCTCGGGGTCATGGGGACACTGCGGGTGCATAGTTGGGGCTCCAGGGTGATCCTAGGGAAGGCTGCGGGCCCTTTGGGTATCCCCGGAGAGGCTGGGGAGGAGATCAGCGGGCGTAAGGAGGAGCGAGGACTGTGTGGCAGGGCTGGCCGGGGACACCCTGCGGTGTCGCTGTCCCCTCGGGGCCGGTTTGGGCCGGGGGGTCCCTGGAGGACTGAGCCCGCGCGCGTTCCTCCCGCCCGCCAGAAGGCGCTCGCGGCCCCGGCCCCGCCGCAGCTGTCGCAGCGCTGACGTCACCAGCGCGACTGCCCTGATGGCGGGCGAGCGGCGGCGGCGCGGCGGGGATGGACCCCGGGAACGGCCCCGGGAGCGGCTCCGCGACCCGAAACTGCGGCAACAGCAAAAGCCACCGCGAGGCTCCGGGCGGGGCCGGACGGCGCTGGCGCTTACAGCGGCGGCGGCAGCGCTGGCGCTGGCTCTGGCGGCGGCGGCTGCCGGATGGAAGCGGTGGAGCGAAGCCTCCCGCCTCGTCACCCCCCACCCCGCGCCCCCCGCCGTCCCCCCTGGCTCCACCGGGCCGCTCGCGTCGCCCACCTATTTCTGGGGCACGTACCGGCCTCACGTGTACTTCGGGATGAAGACGCGGAGCCCGCGCGCTGTCGTGACCGGTGAGGGGCGCGGGGGGCTCGCCCGGGCCCGCTCCCGCCGCGGGGCCGCCCCTGACGGGGCGCGGGGGGCTCTGCCCCGGCCTGGGGCTCTGCCCGGGCCCGCTCCCGCCGCAGGGCCGCCCCTGACACCCCCCCGCCCCTCCAGGACTGATGTGGCTCCAGCACGGCGGCGACCTGCGGCACACGAGCGAGCAGAACAACGGCGTGTCGCGGTATGGGTGGCTGATGCACGACGGGGAGAATTTCGGAGTGCAGGAGATCCGCGATGAGGGGCTGCTGCTGAGAACCGAGTTCGTGAAGCAGCCGGGGGGAGACCATGGCGGCGACTGGAGCTGGCGGGTCACAGTGAAGACGGAGGTGAGGGGGCGAGAGCGGGAGAGGGGTTGGGATGCCAGGGAGCTTTTGTCATCCTCCTCTTCCTCCTCCCCAGGGCAACGGCCCGGCCCCTCTCGTGTCCCTCTTCTTCTACGTGGCCACGGATGGGCAGGGGACGCTGCGGCCGGTGCTGGAGAACGGGACGCGGCTGGCGGCCGTGGCGGGGACGGCAGAGGAGCTCGGGGACTTCACTGTCACCTTCCTGCCCCCCACGGGGGAGGGCGGGGAGGGGCCCAAGTACGCCAGGTGAGCGTCCGGGCTGCGGCCCCCAAACCCCCCGTGTCCCCTCCATCTGCCCCCGCGTCCCCCATCCCTGACTCTCTTGTCCCCCCCCCCCCAGTTACAACTTCCTGGCCGCGGGGGTGCCGGGGCTGCACCGCCTCACCGACCTGGTCCGGCGCAGCCTCCGCGAGAGCTCCGTGTTCTCCCCACCGGGCCGACCCCGCCGCCGCTTTTTCGGGGTGTCCAGCGCCGGGGGGCTGCCCGGGGAGCCCCCTCGGGGGCAGCTGCTGCTGCACCAGGCGACGCTGGAGCCGCCGGCGGCGCTGGAGGTGACGCTGGAGTCGGGCAGCGCGGCGGCGGAGCGGCGCTTCGAGGACGCCTTCGGGCTGGGGGCGCGCGGGGAGTCCCTCCCGCGGCGCCGCTTCGCCCAGGCCGCGCTCAGCGAGATGCTGGGCGGCATCGGCTTCTTCCACGGCCGCTCCCTGCTGCGCTCGGAGCGCCGGGAGGAGCCGGTGCCCGGCATGGAGTCCGCGCTGTTCACGGCCGTGCCCTCGCGCTCCTGCTTCCCGCGCGGCTTCCTGTGGGACGAGGGCTTCCACCTGCTGCTGCTGGCCCGCTGGGACCCCGCGCTGGCCCGCGACATCCTCGCTCACTGGCTCGACCTGCTGAACGCCGACGGCTGGATCCCGCGGGAGCAGATCCTGGGCGACGAGGCGCGGGCCCGGGTGCCCCCCGAGTTCGTGCTGCAGCACAGCGAGACGGCGAACCCCCCGACGCTGCTGCTGGCGCTGGAGCGGCTGCTGCCCGACGCGCCCCTGCCCTACCTGCGCCGCCTCTCCCCGCGCCTCCGCGCCTGGTTCGAGTGGCTGAACCGCACCCAGGCCGGCCCCGAGCCGCTGACCTTCCGCTGGCGCGGCCGCGACCCCGACCCCGAGCGCTTCCTGAACCCCAAGACTCTGTCGTCGGGGCTGGACGATTACCCCCGCGCCTCCCACCCGTCCGCCCAGGAGCGGCACCTGGACCTGCGCTGCTGGATGGCGCTGGGCGCCCGAGTGCTGGCGGCGCTGGCCGAGCGCCTGGGCGAGCCCGCCGCGCCCTACCGCGACATGGCCGCCGCCCTGAGCGACAACGACCTGCTGGACCGGCTGCACTGGGCGCCCGAGCTGGGCGCCTTCGCCGATTTCGGCAACCACAGCGCGGCCGTGGCTCTGCGCTGGCACCGCCCGGCGCCCGTGCCCGGCGGGCCCCCGGCGGCCCCGCGGCTGCGGCGGGAGGTGCGGGAGCCGCCGCGGCCGCGCTTCGTGGGCGCCCTGGGCTACGTCAGCCTGTTCCCGCTGCTGCTGCAGCTGCTGCGGGCGGACTCCCCGCGGCTGCCGGCGCTGCTGGGCTCCATGCGCGGCGAGAAGCAGCTGTGGACGCCCTTCGGGCTGCGCTCGCTGGCCCGCGACAGCCCCATGTACCTGCGCCGCAACACCGAGCACGACCCGCCCTACTGGCGCGGCTCCGTCTGGGTCAACATCAACTTCCTGGCGCTGCGGGCGCTGCGCGGCTACGCGCGGGCGCCGGGGCCGCACCGGGAGCGAGCGGCGCGGATCTACCGGGAGCTGCGGCTCAACCTCGTGGGCAACGTGTTCCGGCAGTACGAGGCCACCGGCTTCCTGTGGGAGCACTATCGGGACAGCGACGGCGCCGGGCAGGGCTGTCGCCCCTTCGCCGGCTGGTCCGCGCTCGTCGTGCTGGCCATGGCCGAGGACTATTGATGTGGGGGGGGGTCTCTGTGCCCCCTTGCATGCCTGGCGTGCTCAGGGCCGGGGGAGGTGTTGGGGGGCTGTGCCGGAGCCCCCCTGCCCTCCCCTGCAATAAACCTCCGTGAGCGTAGCCTCTCGCCGCCCCGGTGTCACCTTTGCTGACCCCAGGTCACGCCGGTGGGCCCTGTGCCATGGAGGGGGTGTTTTACCCCTTCCTGTGGAGTCGGGGGTCGTCACCCAGCCCAGCGCACCCACCACAAGGGTCCGTGGTACTTCCACATCTCTTTAATGGTGAGAGAACACGCCGGGACCGCCCACGGCCTCGGGCACCCCCCGGGCAGCAGCACCGGGATCACAGGGGGGGGCCCCAGGAGCAGTTTGGAGGGGAGGGGGCTGCAGCAGGACCCCACCACACTGCAAGGTGGGTGTCAGTCGGGGCGAGGAGCCCCCGGGGGCTCCGTGATGAGTCCAGACCCCAGCTGGGGGTCCTGTGGGGGGGCTCAGACAGGCAGCACGGGTAAGCCGGGCCCCCCACCACCCCCTGCTCCCCCGTAGCCTTCAGGCTCACCCTCTTCCTCCTCTAGGCCCCGGCCCACCTCGATGCCCGAATCCCCCGTGAGCCGCCGGTGCCTCCCGGGGCACCCCCCTGGCACGGCTCTGCCCGCCCCGTCCTCGCCCCCCTCGGTGTCGGAGCAGGGGCGACCCTCGGCCTCGCACAGGTCCGGGGGCACTTGTTTGGGGGGGCCCCCGCGGGCCGGCGGCTCCTCGGGCAGGGGCAGGTCCCAGCTGGCGCCGGTGCCGGTGCTGCTGGAGCCGTAGTCACGGCCGGTACTGCCACCCCCCGTGCCCGGGCCCGGCTCCGGGTCCGTCTCGTCGGTGCCCGGTGCCGAGAGCGAGGAGCTGCTGGGGGAGGAGGCGCAGGAGCAGCCGCAGGAGCAGGAGCTGCAGCCCCCGGAGGAGCCGGGGGACAGCGAGGGGCTCCCGGGGCTGTAGGGCGGCGGCGGCGTCCCGGGGCGCCGCGCCACCTCCTCGTACGCCGGGAGCTTGAAGGAGGCCAGCAGCCCTGGGAGGGGAGAGGCGGGGTCAGGGACACACCCGGGACACCGGGAAACGGCCCCCGAGAGGATGGGGATGGAGGGGAAAGGCACAGCTGAAGGAACGTGGGGCTGGGCGTCCTGACTCACTGAGATCCCCCGTGGGGCATGAGGGGCCGGGGGTCCCGATCGCCACCCCCCGTGGAAGGGGGTGGTGCTGCCAGGGGCTGGGATTGGGGGCAATTCAGCAGCCCCGACTCACGGAGGTCCCCCGAGGAGGGCGGGTACTGGCAGGCACCGTGGTAGGCGATGAGGTTGATCTCCCGCTGCCGCTGCTGCTGCTGCAGGCGCAGCTTGGCCCGGCGGTGCCGGAAGGCGCAGCAGCAGCTCAGCAGGATCAGGATGGTCCAGAGCAGCCAGAACCCTGCGGGAACGGGGCGGCGGAGCGGGCCGGTCACCGTCACACGGAACCCCCCCAGAGCCCCTCAGTGCCCCCCGGCCCGCCCGGGATCCCCGCTCCCCTCCGTTCTCCCGGGATCCCCCGCACTCACACCACAGCTCGTAGTAGTAGGTGCAGCAGCCGCTCTCCCCGCAGCAGTGCCCGGTCTCGCACACGTAGGGCCGGTTGTTCACCCCCGGGCAGAACTCCCGGGCCTGCGGGGCACGGCCGCACCGTCACCGCAGCCCCGCGCGCGGCCCCCCCGCCCCGGCCCGCCCGGTACCTGCGGGTGCTGCCGGCCCA